TGTCGAGGAAACTCAACGCTGCTAGTGGGACTCGGCCCCTGAGGGTGAATCCTGGGATGAAGTGATCCAAGAAAAAAAAAAGGACAACAAAAGGAAGTTCCCCCCCCTCCCCCCCCCCCATTTAAACCACCATTATCTTTCCCCGGTTGTGAGGAAAGGCAACGCGATTTTCTGCACATCTCCTCAAACACGTCCAGATTCGGGTGTTGAGGAAACTCAACGCTGCTGGTGGGACTCGGCCCCTGGGGCCTCGTCGTCCCACTACGTCCGATTTACATTTGTGCTCCCTCCGTTTTCGATCACGTGCGGCCGTTCGTGACATCCGTCAGTCCTTGATCCAGTAGCATATCGACTGCTAGTGTCGATCGTCTTTGTTTTCGTGGAGGCAGCTCCCCATCAGCCAGTCAATTTTTTTTTAATTCATTTGTTGGCCATTTAGTTCGCCACTTTGCGGTGGCGCGAAGCTTCAATACTATGTTTTTTTTAGGGGGGGGGGTGTTTTTGAAGCTTCGTGCCTTGCTATTTTTTTTTTTGCAGAAATTGAGAATATTGAGATTTCCGTAGAAGACTGCGAACAGGCCGGCGGGAATCTCGCATGCAGATGTACCGGGTTGGTGGAAGTGCGGATGCATAGGGTGTATTGTCATGATGTCGATGCCAGGTCCCATGATTTTTCATTTTTTGGGTCCTTTTCTTTATAGCATTGTTTATGCGATTTTAAATGAGAAAAGAACGCCACACACCGTTTTAAACGATGCTAGTGGGTCGAGGCCCCTGAGGGTGAATCCTGGGATGAAGTGATCCAAAAAAAAAAAAAAGGAAAACAAAAAAAGGAAGTTTTTTTGATTTTTTTTCACCATTTAAACGACCAATACCTTTCCCCAGTTGAAAAGAAAATATGTTGCTCGTTTATGGCCACAACCACTAGATTTCACCCCACAGCCAACTCCACAGCCGCTACCACGTCCACGAAAATTATCAGCTAAATCCAAGTTCATCACCAAGAAACTCTACTCACAAAAGTCGTGACAACCCTAATTTAGTGACCCAAATTCCACCAACCGTGAAGAAACCATGCACAAAAAAAGGAGAACTACCGAAGAAAACGAATCAAAACCAGAGAAAGGAGACCAGCAATCAGCTCTGCTTAATCATGTCCACTATTCATCCGGAGTTACTACCAACCCCTGCCAATCCACCCTGCCACCCGCGCGGCAAGGGTCTGTGCCCACAGACCCCAAACTGCTGACAGAGACCCCTCAATACCCACCCACCACCTCGCAATTCAAAGCGGATGCCTCAAGATGACATCAATACCAGCCTTGGGCACTGGGCCCGTTTTTTTTCAAAAAAAAAAAAAAAAAAAAAAAAAAAAAAAAAAAAAAGATGACATCAAAATTCCTTACCAAATTAAAATAAAATAAAATTTACCTGGCCAGGCAACTCGCCCGGCGCCGCTCTGGTAGCCTAGGGTATAGCAGGGCGAGTCAGCAGCTATGCCAGACCCTTCTTTTTTTAATCAAGAGTTCTTTTTTTAATCAAGAAGGTAAAGCTCTGACAAAAAAAAGCCAAAAACAGAGTGGAAATCGCCCTGTATGTACACTGTAGAGTTTTGAGAAAGGCGTAATGTCCATTTTGAGAAATCGGGCATAGCTGCAGTGGCATGATGAATGCTGACGCTATGGTTACATACCGAGGCTGCAGAGTGCTAGCATCTTCACCCGAATAGAACACGTGGTAATTATCGCCGTATCTGGGCTGAAAGTTGTGCCGAATACAGCTATAATGACCGGGCGTTATATTTGGGTGAAGAAGGTAGCGAGGCATGGGACCGAGCACAGATGCTCTGACCAGGCACGCAGTAGATGGGTGAAGAGCAAATCTTGCAGCTTTATCATTCTCACTATAAAGGAAGCCGAAGCCGAAGTCGGGTAATGGCCCCGGTGTCCAGTCTTAAGGGCAAGCTCAGTAGCCATGTTGTATATGGGATGCTGGACCCGCTTTCCAGCAGGTGCTGCTCCCCTCCAATAGACTGGAGCACCCGGCGTCAGGTTGCTAGTGCAAGGTGCTGTGACCACCTCCACTAGCTAACCGAGGCTGGGATTTCGGAAAAAGAAAAAAGAAAAAGAAAAGGAAAAAGAAATAGGATTTGGAAAAAAAGGAAGAAAGAGAAATAGGATTTCAAAAGAAAGAAAGAAAAGGAAAGGAAGTCCAAAAACAGAGGAATTTTCCCCAAGGGTCTCAAGAGTAAGTAGAGCCAGCCGATAAAGGTCCTGTTTGTTAAAAAAAAAAAAAAAAAAAAGGAATCAGCAGAGTTATTGATTTCGGTAGTTGAATTTGCATTCGGAAAGACGAAAAAAGAGAAGTCCAAAACAGAGTGCAGTTGCCCCACGTACCTCTCAAGGAAAAGGGCCTCGCTCCACTACTCACCACATGCACAAAAAGCAGCAAATATGGTGGTGTATCTTTCCATGTTCTAGCGGAAGATTCATTCCTATTTTGCGCAATTGGCGAGTAGTGGAGCTATGGCCCGAAGCACAATTTTTTCCTTAGTGGAAATTGAATTAGAAAAAGAAGAAAAGAAAGAAAAAGCCAAAACCAAAGTGGAAGTTGCCCTATTGCGTAACTATATTCTATATTCAATTCGTTGGTTGGTTAACCACTAGAAAAAAGTCTCTCTTATCTCCTCTCTTCTCTTCTCTTCTCTTCTCTTCTCTTCTCTTCTCTCATCTCCTTTCCTCTCCTCCCCTCTGCTCTCCCCCTCCCCCCCCCTTTCCCCCCCATCCCCTTTCCCCCCCTCCCCCTTCCCTCTCCCCTTCTCCCCTCGTCTCCTCTCCTCTCCTCTCCTCTTCTCCTCTTCTCTTCTTCCCTTTTCTTGTCTTATCCTCTCCTCTCCTCCTCTCCTCTCTTCGCCTCTTCTCTTCTCTCTTCTCTCCTCTCTCTTCTCCTCTTCTCTTCTCTCTTCTCTCCTTTCCTCTCTTCTCCTCTTTTCTCTGCTCCTCTCCTCTCTCCTCTCCTCTTTTGTCCTCTCCTCTCCTCTTCTGTCCTCTCCTCTCCTCCCTCCTCTCCTCTCTCCTCTCTTCCCCTCTCCTCCTCTCCTCCCCTCTCCTCTCCTCTCCTCCCTTGTCCTCTCCTCTCCTCTCCTCTCCTCTCCTCCCCTCTCCTCCCCTCCTTTCTCTCCTCCCCTCTCCTCTCCCTGTCCTTTCCCCTCCTCTCCTCCCCTCTCCTCTCCATGTTCTCTCCCTTCCTCGCCTCTCCTTTCGTCTCGGCGCGTCTCCCCTCCTCTCCTCTCCTTTCGTCTCCCCTCCTTTCCCCTCCCCTCCTCTCCTTTCTCCTCTCTTCCCCTCTCCTCCTCTCCTCTCCTCCCCTCTCCTCTCCTCCCCTCTCCTC